ACATGAGCAGACCTGTCGGTCTAAACATGAGAGGGCACAGTAATTGTCATATATAACAGCAAGTCTTTCACCGTGGTACATCATGGATATAAACAAAAGGGGAGGGGAGAAGAGCAGAATGACTAAAAGCGGGAGTTACTATATGTGTCTGTAAGTCTAAGGGAGCTATACTTTGTCATTAAAAGAATTACTTCAGGATCAGAGAGAAATGTAGGTGGCTTCCTACATTATATACAATATACAGGTGGTATATTGCTTCTAAAATGTAAACACCTTGGGGACTTAAGTAAGGTAGAAGGCCCACCATGATTTAGGATACTGCACATTTCCTTGAAAATTAACTAAAACCAATTTCATGCTAACACTATCTTCCCTCAGTCTGAAAAGGCACCAATTGATATAATTTGGGGTGCACACAGAAGTGTAGCTCCCTGCTGCAACTGAGAATGCTTTGCAGGCAGCCTTCTGAGTTAGGAGCAAACATAAGTTCACTGTTGTTTCCAGGGGGGAGGGGAATCTAGCTGCTGGCTGCCAGCCCACAGCTGGTTTCCCCTAGCAACAGCTCCACCCTCCAGTGGGGCTAAAAAAACCCCAGATCAAACTCTCTCTGCTCCTTTTCCCTCCCATTCTGAAAACAGCAACAAGGCTAGGAGGCAGGCAACCTCAAGTTACAGAAGACATTCTTCATCTGACCCCTTGTGCAATGAGGGTTCAGATTTTCACCCAATCAAAGCAATCTGCAGCCCTGTACTTGTGTTTGGTCACAGCTGCAGACTGCTTTGTGGCCAAACTGGGTGAAAACTGTCACTTCTCTCTGCACCCCATACAAAGTTAACAATATCCCTTTTTAATGAACTCTCTCCACTAAAGACGCATGTGCACCTTGAAGACTGTCGCAGAACAAGAAGCCCAAAGGGCTGGAGACCCCTGCCCTGGGGGCAGAAAGGTGATGGGAAAAAGCCTGAGGACCTGGGGAAACAGCCCCAAAAGAGCCGTGACCTGGGAAAACCGAAAGAGTTGTGACCAGCACTGGCAGTCAGCTACAAAAGCCAGCTGCAGAGGGAAAGACTGGGAGCAATAGTCATGCTACAGCTGTGTACTCCTGGCCTGCACAACTGGCCGTGCTACAGACCCGGGTTGCCAGGGATGGTCCTGAAAAGGATTCTGTCCTCCTGGGGAGCGATGCTCAGTACCGGGGAAGAGGAGGAAGCCAAGGGGCTGATGGCCCTGCAGTCTGCAGGGAGGCATGAGTAGAAGAAATCACTGCCTCCCAACTGTTTTTTCTTTTTCTTGTTTATTTGTGTATTACTCCTTGGGCCAGAGATACAGGCCATGTTTGCTTGTTACCCTCATCAGGGCCGAGGGACCAGAAGCCCTCGGGGACTCCAGGGTGGAAGCCTGTGTTTTTCCAGGCCAGCTGGCTCGCCCAACCCAGGGAAATGGTCGTAGGAAGCAAGACCATTTTTCCGTGTCCTTTGAGCCTTTTGCAGGCCAAGTACCACAGAGAGAGTGACCAACCAGCTGCCAGTGTGCCCACGGACACTACACCTGCAGAGTAACTCAGTGGGAACCTACTAGAGACCTGGTTGGGGGGTGACGCTGCATGCAAGTGTTCAGAAGAGCTGGAGTCATCAACTGCATAGCAGAGACCACCAGGTTGGTGCACGGAAGGGATGTAGGGGAGGCGAAGCCCCAAGGACATCTGTACACAATGCCTCCAAGTGAGTCTGAATCTAATGGGAACCCTCACATCTGAACTCAAGAACAAAACATGGCAGTCGAGCAACAACAGCTTCCCTGAGGAGGTAGCGCATGATGGACATTGGTGCCGGAGAGACAGGACTCGAGCAAGGCCCCCCCGGCCCCAAGCCGCTCAAGAGCAGTTGCTCAAGCTTAAGTGGACACACAAACATTTAAAAAAAAGCATACTTTATCAGAAGCAGCAGTGCGTTACTTCAGCTGGGCCCCACAGTGTCTATAGATTGGGCACTTTAGCGGTGCTTTTTGGTGCTTTAAGCTAAAGCTTATTCAATGAGCTATTAGATAAAGGTGCCAAAAAAAGCCCCACTAAACTGCTTGATCTTTACAGACACCATGTGAGCTGGTTCCAACTAAGGCGTTGCCTCTTTCGGGCTTGCATGCAGGGGGCTTGATACAAGAATATACCAGGTTTAAAGTAAAGCGTGGTTTTTTGCCTGCAAGCAGCCAAAGTTATCTGTAAATATTCTATTTCAGAAGAATCACTAACATAATTAAAAGCCTGATAACAAACAGAGTCTTATCGTATAAACAAGCCTCACTTTTATTTTGGCCTTTCCTATATTACAATGGTTGTTTTTATTTTGAAGTAAATGCAACCTTTGTATTTCTCTTTTATCACTAAGACTGTTTACTTTTTACTCTCCAGAGAAGAATCTAATGCTCTTTAACAGGATCAACATTTCTCAGTAAATGCAACGGGGAAGTTGTCTACCCTTTACACAGGGCCGCCCGAATGTCTTCCTAGCCCATACTCTTCTTAGTTTCTCTTTCTCCCCCAAGATTAAGTGTTTATGCAAATAAGTAATGCAAACACATACACTTTAAGATATACACTTACACATCACTGCAGCCAACCTACTTTATCCCCTTGCTTCTCCTAAACAGGGGTATTCAAACAGCTTCTCCAAGGAGCCCTGCACTGATAACTTCCTAGGAACCTGGGGGTGGCCCTTACTTTGCATATACCTTGTTAGAATGGACCTGCAGCTGTTTTTAGTGGGAGGTGCTGCTTACTGAAAATGAAAGTCCCATCATGCGGGAAGTGGATCTATACAATGTAATGCAACCAATACTGGTTTAGTAAAATGTCTCTGTTTTGAGGCAGTGTAAGAATGTTGTTGTAGCTGTGATTGTCCAGAAATAATGAGAGGCAGGGATTTCTTAAAGTGGTATCTTTTATTGGATCAATTGTATAGTTGGGATAAAGTTAGAGAAGCTTTCAAATATGTTTCTCCTCAGGTCTCTGAATATAGCAGAGGTGTAGTTTTGGCAGGATTGCCAAACCCAGCTACACATTGGTGCCAAGAGTGTGGGGGCCCAAGGGCCCTGGACTCTGGTGGGGAGGAGCATAGGGTGACTACTCATCCCTAATTGGGCAGGACAGTCCTGAAATGGGAACGTCAAGTCCTGGTCCTGGGCTGCCTGACTCTGGGACAGCATTTGTCCCAGATTGCCAGTATCATGCAGGGATCCAGGTTTTCCATTCACTGTGGAAAAATGCAGGAAATGGTGGGTTTCCCCTTGCAGGCTGGAAGAGTTCCAGCCTGCAAGGGGCTGTCGTGAGCAGGATGCAGGGGGCACCATGTGCATGCGTGCTGCCCTATGCACAGATGCACGTGGCCAGAAATACAGCCCTAGGCAGTGGTGGAGAGCAGCTCTCTTAGCTGTCTATGGGTAAGTCAGTGGGGAGGGGTGCAGATTGAGGCCCCCACGGTGAGGGAGTGGGGCAGAGGCTGGGCCTGGGAGTGCTGTCTAGCCAGGGCTGGGTGCATGGGGCCCAGGGAGCAGCACAGACCCACAGGTGGCTCTTCAAGAGGGTCATGGGGGGCAGCTCCCTGCTACTGTATACACTCCCAGAGGGGAGCATGGGTGAACACCTACCCCCCAGATTTATGCATGGTGCAAGGTCAGATGAGGGCTGCCTGATGCAGTCTTGGATCTCCCTACCCTGATGCCCTACCCTGGGGAAGCTCCACACTGGTTGCAGTGCCATGATCACCTGCTGCCCACCTGGCAGCAAGTGGCACAACCCTGCATCACCATCCTCACTGCTGCTGGGTGGGCATGGGGTGCCTCACCATGGCTGTGTGGCCAGTGTGGAGCTTCCCCAGGGGAGGGCAGCAGCAGGCAGCCCACAGCCAGCTCCCCCCACTCCAGCCACGCTGTTGGGGGGGGCATAATTTTAGCCCCCTCCCCAGCAAAATTAAAAGTCCACGCCTATGGCTCCTCAAATATATCATTCCCCTCTAAAGCATGAAGCTGGCTAACAAGTCATGAGATTTTTTTTCAATGATACATTTTGTCCTTGTCGTTTGCTTTCTAGTTTTCCAGCCTGCAGGGGATAGTGCTTCACGCTTTCGAGCTCTTCTTTATACCAAGGACCAGAAACACATGTTTTCCTAGAAATGAAAGATGAGACACTCTTGCCAACCCTCGACTTCGGAGCTGATTTTCCAACACCAGCACCCTCACGCGTAGGCACCAACCACGGTGCAGCTCTACTGCCCCACTGCCTTGAAACTGGGATTTTAACCCGTTTCTCTGCCCCCAGGACTTCATCGCCGCGCCCCGCCCCGCGCACCAGCTGTGGTCACAGGCGGGAGAGCGACAAGGCGCAGCCTGAGGTGCCGCAGCCCGCGCTCCTGTGCTGGGGGGACGCGAGACACGAGCCACGGCAGCCTGCGTTGGTCCCGCAGTCGCTCCCGCTGCACTCGTGCAGCCTCGGCCACGGCCCCTTGCAGACCGAGCCCGGCGCACGGGACCTGCCCATGCCTCTGCCCCTCGCGCGCCTGGGCTCCGAGCAGTCCTCTCCCCGGCCTGGCCCAGCCCGGAATAACTGACAGCCCGGAAGGGCCAGTCAGCGCAGTCTCCTCGTCGCTAGGGGCAACCGAGCGCCCGCCCCCCTCGGGGCGGGAGAGAATGTTTACAAACAAGTGGGGAGGGGGCGGGGCCAGAGTTTGGCGCAGGCGCCGAGCCAATGGGGACCCGCACCACTCGGAGGTGGCGCCGGGGGGAGGACGAGGACGGAGACAGAAGATCCTACAGGCACTACCCAATCACCGCGGCTGGCTGTGAGCGCGCGCACCAATGGCAGCTCAGCTCCTTCCCGACGCTTCCGGGAGGGGCGGAGCGCTCGAGGGTGTGGAGTCTCCGCCCATACCCCCCTGCCAGCCCCCTCACCCAGCCTGGGCTGGACCAGGCCGGGCCGCGCTGCGCGCCTGCTGCTGGGAGGGTGGGAGCGGCAGGGGCTGGGGAGAGGCCGGGGCGCGTCCGTCAGCGGCGTCTCCATCTGTTCGGCGGGGGCCATGGCGCGCCGCGCCTGAGAGCCGGTGACTGGGGCACAGGCGGGCGGGGGCAGCCGGCGGCAATCGAGCCCGGCGGAAAATGGAGGGGCCGTCGGGCTGCGCGGAGCAGCCGCTGCTTACAGTCACGCACGAGCTGAAGAACGGTGAGCGGCGGAGCGGGGCGGGGAGGGGAGGGGCGGGGCGGGCGAGCCCGGGGGGCGGGGTGAAGTGCACTCGAGGGCCCGGGGCGGGGCGGGC